CTCCTCCTCCTCCTCCTCCTCCTCCTCCTCCTCCTCCTCCTCCTCCTCCTCCTCCTCGGGTCGCCTACGGCCCCAGGGGAAACCGTGCAGGGGAGGGATAGAAAAAGAGGAAAGGGCGAAGGGGACGACCCTCTCCGCGGCTGCGACCTCGACGTGGACACCCGAAGTCCGACAATCATCGGAAGGCCTCCCAGCTAACACCTCATTCCCCATCTGTGTCCTATCCCATCCCCTTCATTTTGCGCATGTCTCCCTGTGGGAGACCCGCTCCTGGGGCTGAGGATGACCCCGAGCCTAGAATATGCTCCCCTGCTCACCGTGGGGGTGGCCCTCGGAGAGATGGGGAGGGGCAAAAGGAGGGAAAGGGAGGTCACGCTTCCAACCCCCCCTGGGAGAAGAGCGGGGGGAGAAGAGGGGGGGGAGAGAGAAGGCGACCCTCCGGATCCACGATGCCTGACCTCACACCGTGCCCGGACCCTTCGCCCGCCCGAGCTGGCTCTCTCCCCCCTCCCCGCCCTCAGACCCGCCCACCTTTTCGCTCCTCCCGCCCCCCGCCGCCCCTCCCCCGGCCGCCCTCCTCTCGGCCCGCCCCTCTCCCTGGGCCACCCGGCGGGGGCCCCACCCTCACGGGCTGGGGCAGCGCGGCCTCTCCAGCGCGGAGTCCACCCGCACGGCGCAGCGCTCGCGGAGCATGCCCTGCGCCTGCCCGACGAGCCCCCCCCCCCCCCCCCCACAGCGGGAGCCCAGGCCGAGCGGGCGCGGGGCGCCGGCACGGGGGGCGGCCTGCCGGGGATCGGACTCCGGCGAGCGGGCCCGGTGGCCCCTGCTCTCCCCGAGCCTGGGCCTCTCCAGGACCTGGGGCCCCAACGGCGGGGCCCCGGCAGGACAGGAGCAGCAGCAGGGACAGCAGGTGCAACAGCAGGAGCAGCAGGTGCAGCAGGTGCACAGGGGAGGAAGAGCAGCAGCAGCAGCAGCAGCAGCAGCAGTAGCAGCAGGACGAGCAGAGGCTGGGCCCCGGCCACTTTTACGCTGGATGGTCAGCTCCAGAAAACCCGCACGTGGATGGGAAGGGGAGGGCGAGGGGATGGAGCGGGTAGGGCAAGGACGAGCAGAGGGAGCGAGTGAGACGCACCGTGTCTGTGGAATCGAAAGAAGGATGAGCATCACTTCGATGAACAGGATCGCTATCACACTTTGGAGCTTCACATCGATGCTCAGAAGCGCTTGATGTTGTCCGACATCGTGCTGCATGGCAGCTGGTGAGTGCTAGGCTCTCAGTCCCACCAGCCCTCTGGGCGAAGGTGGTCTAGAGAGCTTTCTCTTCCAACCCCCCTCTTCCCCTTCGGGGAGGGGTTTCACAACCCCCATACCCCCTGCCCTGGACCTGGAGGGGGGGTCGCAGGTCGTTGGAGCGTGCAAGATGGCCCAAGATGGCTCCAGGAGGGCCTCAGAGAGCTCAGGGTGACTTCCAAAGTGGCCCAAGATAGCCTAAGATGGCTCCAAGTAACTCCCAAGATGCTCCAAGAGGCCCCAAGACCGCTCCAAGACGGCTCCAGGGAGGCCGCCAAAAGGTCAGAATCCTTGAACGGCTCGCTCGTGTTGTGGCCCAGGCCCCTCTGCCTTCCAAGCAGGCTGCGGGAATGCCCTCTGGCGACGCGCTGGCTTCAGCATCCCACGGGGAACCCGCCAGGGGGCGGGGCGCTCGCCCGTTCGCGGCCGGACTGGGGATGTCTCGGGCGAGGCTCTCGTGCTGCACATCCGACTCCTGCCCTCTCAGAGCCCCAGGATCGCCCCGAGGGAGGGAGGAGGGCGGCCGCGAGAGCCGGGGAGGGAGGGCGGAGGAGGCGGGAAGGAGAACGGGGGGAGGGAGGCACAGAAGGGAGGGGCGAGGGCGAGGAGGGAAGAGGAGGAGGAGATGGGAGGGGGGCCGCCCGGCAGGGGGGGCGCCAGGCAGGGGAGGGGGAGAGAAGAGAGGGGAGGGGAGGGGCGGAGCGGAGGACGGGGAGGCACGAGAGGGGCGCAGGAGGAGGGAGGAGGAGGGAGTTGTGGGGGGTACGACGAGGAGGAGAATAAAGAGGAGGGGGGGGGGGAAGGAGGAGGGAGGGAGGAGGGAGGGAGGAGGAGGGAGGAGGAGGGAGGGAGGAGGAAGGAGTTGTGGGGGTACGACGAGGAGGAGAATAGAGAGGAAGGGGGGGGGGGGCTGCTCCCCGCCTGCCTGTCCGCGAGCTGCTGCTGCCGTCGTCGTCGTCGCTGCCCCTGATCGTAGCCGCCGCCGTCGTCGTCGTCGTCGTAACCGTCGTCCTCTCGGACTCGATTCCCGCCCGGGCACGCAAAGCCGGACACTCACAGCGGGACGCGGCGGGGATGCACATGTGCGGCGCCTCTGATCCTTGACCCTGTGTTTCTTCAGTGTGCTACATGCTTCTACGACCCACCTCGGCGGCCAGAGAATCCACCTACGACATCCTTTCGTGGAGATGAGGTGCTTGGACCGAGGAAATAGAAGGGATCGGGAACTTCAAGTGAAACTTTGATCGAGAAGCGATACGATAGGAAGTAACTTCAAATCACGGATCCCAAGGCGCGCTTCCAGGAGGGGGGCCCCCGCGTCGAGACATCGCCCCGCCTTCTTGACGAAGGGGGGCGGCAGGACCGGGGAAGGGCCGCGGGGGCCCGTGGCACGTCAGGTTCTGACACCGCGGGGATCGTTCAACCTTGAACGATCGGCCGTTTCCGAAACGTCCAAATCGTTCCACACCGAACGATTCTGGGTCGCCCGCGGCGTTCAAAATTTTACGCCGCTGGCGGGGTCGCCGCCGGTCGACACGACGCGAACCTGCGGCATGCGCTGCTGCGCCAGTCCCGCGGCGCGGGGCCTCCGCCAGCCTGGCCTCGAGGCTTGCGAGGTGGATGCCGCAGTTCCTGGGAGGCCCGGGGGGGGGGGCGACGCACGGTCTGCGCCCCTGCTGGACGGCACATGCACAATTCGACGTGGAGGAGGCGGAGTGCGAGGCGGGGATTTATCCATGTCCACCGCCTGGGAACCGACGTCCTGGTGCCCCAGCGGGCGGTGGATATGTAAATATTTTGGCCCCTGGGGGCCCGAATATGTCCATATCCACCGCCTGCCGAGGTCTTCGAAAATTGATCCTCCAGGCGGTGGTCATGTATAAGTTCCCGCCTTTCGAGGAGGGGGGATTGGCCCTAGGGCCACACGCTCTGACCGCAGCTCTTCGCGCTTCTTTGTCCGCACTGGCGGCTGCCGTGATCTGATTGTCAAGGCCGAAGTCGGCAATTTTATTCCTTGAGGCCTAGCACTGTTCTTTTTTTCTGGACGCAACAAGCTCTGTTCTCCATGTCCGATCAACATCAGAAAGGGGGGGATTGGTAGGTGAGCGTTTTTTTTCTACTCGGCGTTTCGACATTGCGCGGAAGGGGGGGGAGGGGGGGGATCTGGCTGCAGGCCTCTGCTGAGTGCGACTGTTGCAAGAGTGCGGCCTCTGGGGGAGACTCCACCCGCTCGAAACAGGCGCCAACCAAAAAACAGCCAAGAGCTACTCCATCGGGGGGGGGGGGGGGGCACACGCCGATCTGCAAAACACTAAATTAAAAAAACGATCACAAGTCCAAAGTTGGATGACATCGGCGACCGCGGCCCACCGCGTGGACGCCGACCGCAGGCCCACACCTCAGAATGGCGCGGCATCCCAGCAGCACACGGCTGGAAGGAGGCAGGGAGCAGTCGAGGCACGGCCGTTGAGGCGGCGCCCAGCTGTATCCACCAGTCGTCCCCCGCCGCGGGCCCTGAACTCAAGGTGGGGGAGCTGGGGCGACCCGGCAAAAAAGGGGAAGAGGCAGCGGAAGTGCGCGCCGGAGGGAACGCAGAGGAGGACGAGGGGGAGGTCTGGGTAGAGCTTGCCATCGCTTGGCCGACCATTCCCCGTACATGTTTCGGCTTCGTGCATTTATCTGTTGCTCGGTGATCCAGGAAGCTCATCGATGGTCCCCCGTGAGAAAAAAAACAAAACAAAAAAAAACGCACACGCCCGAGCGATGTCAAGAGGGGGACATAGGGGGGATGGACGGGGGAGGGGCAGGCGCATAGGAAGGGAAAGGTGTGAGGACCGCGCCCCGCGAAGAACCTCAGTTCGGCCAGGGCAGTTTTTTGACACCAAAAGGGTCCAGCCAGGACAAGGGGTCCAGGCGCCAGGACAACTGCGCTGAACTCATTCCTCTCCCCAGCCACCTCCTGCACGGAGCCCGACGCCTTACAAGGACAACGTGCTCGGAACAGGCCACCAAGACCAGGCAGGGACGACAGGAGCACTCTATCCTCCCCGTTCCCTTCCACTTCCTGCCAGGGGTATGAGCCAACCAATATGCAGGACCGCCCACAGGAGGCGAAGGTATGCTGGCGCCGAGCTCCGCGACAAAGACACCCACGGCAAGAACGAGTTTGCACATGCAACCTTTTAATCTGCACTCCTGCTTGCTTCCACAGGTGGCCAGAGTCTGCACCAGCTGACGAAGCTCATGCCGACAGTGAAGAAGCTTGCTTTTAGCGGAAGACCTATCGGAGAAACCTCGTTCACCCACTCCCCTTGACCTGAACCTTCCTCACAACTCCATATTACACCCTTTCAGATTCATTTCTGTCGCAGGGCCTTCAGCACATAAAAGCATACACTTGGAGACCCCCGTCGCACAGGCCGATCCAAGCCCCCTCGGCCCAATCCCTCTCCTCCGCCGCCCCCAGCGAGAATCCACTTGGAGACCCCTGTCGCACAGGCCGATCCAAGCCCCCCGCCCCCGTCCCTCTCCTCCGTCGCCCCCAGCGGGAGAGGAGTCGCAAGGGGGGAGAATGACTGCGCTAGCGGGCAACGGGGGTCTCCCGTGAAAAGTCTCCGTTTCCCGGCGGGGCACGGGCATGACAAGGCGGCGGCAGCGTCCTCTGCAGCGCAGCGGCGAGCTCGCCCGCTTTCCTGCGCAGGGACTCCTCGCGCGAAGCTGGCGCTGCCAGAGCCGACCAAGACGATCCAGCGTCGAATTTGGAGCCAGAATGATGGGCTCCCCTGCCATGACCTGCACCCAGTCTCGCAAAGCCGACTTAGCCACAACACACACGCACACCTTGACTAGGCAGGAGGCAGCAAACGCGAAGGGCCAGGGGCAGGAAGAGGATGAATCACATACGGAAGGAGGGCGGGAGAAAAGGAAAGGGAGAGGAGGAGGAGGAGGAGGAGGAGGAGGAGGAGGAGGAGGAGGAGGAGGGGGAGGGGGAGGAGGAGGAGAAGGAGGACGGAGAGGAGGAGGAGGAGGAGGAGAAGGAGGAGGAGGGGGAGGAAGAGATGGAGATGGAGCACACTCAGCGTTAGCACAACTATGAGGAGGATTATTGAAGAGCAGAAGGCGGGGACGAGGCCTCGGTCCACATGAAGACGATGCGACCAACAACACCAACAAGAGGGCGAGGAAGAGAACGAGGAGAGCAAAGAGGGATACGATGACAAAGACGGCGACGATGACGTTGGATAGAAGCAGGATCGGGATCGGGATCGGACCCGTTAAAGTTTGTCTGATGCTGCTTATCACCTGCCAAACTGTCGCCTAGCGAGAATGACGCAAGGAAACTCTGGGGAGCCGAACTTTCCCGTAGCCAGTCCGTCTGCTACGGCCCGTCCCCTGCGAGCACCCTCCAAACGGCACGCAGCTTAAGAGGGGCCAACGGCTGGGGAGAGGATGAGAGGGTGCTGGTGGAGATGAAGAGCAGGGCAGGAGTGATACCAGGAGCAGGATCAGGAGGAGGGTGAGGAGCATGAAGACAAGGAGCAGGACGCAGAGAAGAAGGAAACAGAGAAGAGAGGAAGGAGGAGGAGGAGGGAGGAGCACGACGAGGAGGGAAGGTGGGAGGAGGAGAAGGAGGAGAAGGGACCATGGTAAACCCAAGATGTGCCATTGATGCTGAAATACACCCTCCCGTCCCAAGATCTCCGCAATGCAGACAGGAGCCCCGTCATGAAACACATCGCCCTCCATCTTTCGAGCTGCAGCAACATGGGGCTTGTACATTCAAGGAGCTGCCAAGCGACAACCTCGCTTTGAAAACAAACCGCCCTCCATCCGAGTCGCTGTTGCGTGAACTCCAGGGGCCATAGAACTCATGGACGGTATTGGCGAGAGACCACGCTTGAAAGGGAGTCGCCCTCCACCTGTGAAAGCATGCACCTGCTGGTTTGGGGAGAAAACAACGAGCGCGAGCGGCGTCAAACAAAAGGTACCGCCCTCCATCCGTGAAATCGCTTACATGTTTTGAAGCTATCGGTCGTGGCGCCAAAGCGAGAGCCACTTTTTGAAAATGGACCGCCCTCCAGCCGCCCAACTGTTGGAAATCTGACCAGCCCTCTGGGCGGAAGTGGTTTAGGGAGTTCGGTATGATGACCCCTCCCCCTTCCCCACCCCCCTGGGTCTGGAAGGGGGGAGGGCGCGACGCGTTGGAGCGTCCAAGATGTCTCAACACGGCTCGAAGATGGCTCCATATAGCCCACGATGGCTTACAGGGTCGATCAAGAGGTACCCAGATGACTCAAGATAGCTTCTAACATCCCTATAGGAGGCCCCAAGACCGACGCAAGACGGTGCCAAATGCCCTCCGAGCCTCCCAAGGACGCTCTCGAGAGTCCAATACCCTTCCAACAAGGGAACTCCATGGGTTTGTGTAGTATGGCCGTCTCTTATCCGGTCGGCCTTGGAGACCTCAAGATGGCCTCAAGATGGCCCAAGAGGGCCCCGATAAGGGGCCGACAAAGCTCCAAGAAGGCCCGACGAGCGCCCGAAGAGCGCCCCAAATGGGGGCCTTACATGCACCTTGGAGGGATTCGACGGGGGGACGCTAGTAGATTACCTCCCACTTCTTTGATCGAAGGCCTCCTAGAGTGCACTCACGGCCTCCAAGAGGGCTGCAAATGAGCCTCAAAAGCTCCTTGAACATCCTTACTTGTTCGACTGCGTGCTCCCACATGTCCCTAACCACTGCAGCTCGCCTGCGCATCGCTGCTGCAGCTTCGAGATGGCGGAACTGCAGAAGACCAATCTCAGGCCTGCCCCGGCGTACGGACAACCCTCGTGGTGCGACAGGGATTACGTATATATCAAGGGGAAGGGTAGAGGGGGGAGGAGGAGGAGGAGGAGGAGGAGGAGGAGGAGGAGGAGGAGGAGGAGGCGGAGGAGGAGAGGTGGAGGAGGATAAGGAGGAAATGGAGGAGGAGGAGGGGAGGGGAAGGAAGGATCATGAAAGAGGAAAGGAACGACGGGTGGGAAGAAGCGAGGGTGACAGAGGATACATGGCTCCTCCCCGTCAGCAGCGGACGCGCACACCGCCGCGGCCATGACGAAATCCTCGGCACCAATGCCAGGGGCATGCGACCGAAGCTCGGCGAGCTGGTCGGCCTCGAGCAGATGCGCGGGCCCGACAGACATCCTCGTCCTCCTCCTCCTCCTCCTCCTCCTCCTCCTCCTCCTCCTCCTCCTCCTCCTCCTCCTCCTCCTCCTCCTCCCCCTCGTCCTCCCGCCTCCCCAAACCCTACCCACATTGCCGACACAATCACAAGCGCAAACCCTTTTCGGAAGCCATGCCCACAGGTATTCGCAGCCACAGTTCCGTTCCGAAAGCAGCTGTGGCCTTCGTGGTGGCGGCGCATGGCATGGCGATGATCAGAAGCGCAGCAAGCGTAGACTTGGCGAACCTATCACCCGATTCTGGCGCTACAAGCAACGCGGAGGTCTTTGGAATAGATTGGGATCAGCTCATGCCCGAAGGGCAACCACGACCCCGTACCTGGATCTAGAACCACTCCGTATATGTGTATGTTGGGCGGCGGAGGTGGCGGGCACATCGTTCGCGACCAAGGCATGGTCTTCTATGCTCTCCCAAAGCTGATAGTTGCGCTCAACAAGGCTACGTGCGCGTAGCAGGCGGGAAGGTTTCTGGGGCTGCTGGTGCTGCGCTACAACTTGCGTCAAGATAGTTAAGGCCTCTCACTTTCGATGTATATATAAAAATCAGGTTTCAACTAATAATAAATTTGGGGAAAAAATGATATGGATCACGATGCCAAGTGTCTGTCTTGGCTGGAGAAAGAAGAAACCGATCCACGAACTTCGCACCGGTCTGGAACCAGAACGCCAGATTTACGAGGGTTTGGTCGAGCAGCTTCACATCCAAGCACGTCGTCTGCTGTTCAGAAGGACAGGGTCTCCCCTCAGGGCATGGTGGGCGGTCAAGAAGACGCCTTTGATCAGGGCTACCTCTGAACCGCGTCTGGGCTCGAATCCGACGAGCACGAGGTCGAGGGTGAGCCCGAGGACAAACTGGAACGTCGTGCTGGTCGTGCCTGAGGCTCGCTCACCTCTGCAGCAAAAAACCTTGTCGGCGGCGAGCCAGTGGGGAGAGCCCGTGGGGAAAGTGAGAAAGAGAAGGCCTCCTGAGAAAGCTCAGAAGTCCCCCGGCCTTCTGAGAAATGTTCTAAACCTTCCCCGAAGACACCGAAAAGTTTTCACAAAGCCGGAGAGCCTCTCTGAGATGCCCCGCCGCCTTCTGAGAAGGTCTTCTGCTTCTCGCTTCCCCCCGTCGCTAGCCGCGACAAACTGCTCGTTTCCAGACTGTCCCGGGAGACCCGCACCAATCACATCCAAGAGGAAGGCGTCGGGGCCCCACTCCACCCAACGGAACGCCCCCATGATCGGCGCCTTACCAGCCACCCGCACCGGGCCGCCGACGCACCCGGCAAGCGCGACCGCGCCCGCGCGGGGCGGCGCCGCCGCGGCCGCGGGGCGACCCAGACCTCCGTCGCTCCTAAGCCAGGACACAACTCAGACGCGCGGATTCGACCCAATCAGCAAGCGTCCGGCCGCCTCGCGCTGCGCCCTGGGCGATTGCGCGAACCAGTGCGCGGCCGCGTTGGAATTCGCCGCCCGCCCGCCCAGGTCATCATCCGAGCGCGCCCACGACCTCCCTGGCCAGCTGCGCGGTCGATTAGGGGGCCACATGCGAACCCTACCCCTCATTACCCCCCACGATTCTTGAGGGGGACGAAACCCCCAGGAGCACCTCCTCTTCACTCCAGCGCCCCCGCGATCTTCGCCATCATGGGCTCCCCGAGGCCCTCGGCGGGGAGAATTTCCCCCTCAACGACAGCGGCGCTCCGGCGTCGGAACTGGAGGGCTCCGAGAGGCGAGAGGTCTCCCGGGGGGGAGCCGCGCCCGGCACCCTCTGGGACAGAAACACGCTCCCCGACGGCCACTTGCGCGCCCTGAACACCCGCCGGCGCTGCGCCGACGTCGCCATCGGCCGCCAACGCCGCCTCCGCCGCCAACTCCAAACCAAACTGGCGCCCCGCTTCGCCGTCGCCTCTCCTCTTCTGCCGCGTCGCTCTGCCTCGGCGGAACTTGCCGCCCACACGGGGCGGCGCCCTCGGTGACGGCACGCGAGACGCGCGGCGGCCTCGCCAGAATCGCCGGGACGCACCCGGGAGCCGACGCCAACGCAAGTCTGCCAGACGACGAATGCGCCGCGCGAGAGCCCCCGCGCGCGCGATGCCGAACGGGCCCGCACTCTTCTGCCAGCGCGCCCCGCGCGAGCTATCCACAAGCCAAAAGCTTCGCCGCATCCATGGGCGAACCCGTCGAGATAGGATGGGGCTGTGCTACATTGCAGGACTCCGCGTCGCCGGAGCTTCTGCCCCTCCGCCGAGTCTTTGCAACGTCCTGGCCTAGAATTGCCCGCGAGAGCGTCGGCGGCCCATGGGCACTACGCCCCGCAGATGATCTCGCACTCTGCAATATCCCTGTCGGGCGTGCCCCCGACATGGCTCGCGCCCGATACGTCGGCCGCGCGCGTTCAGCCGCGCCCAAGGGCGAGCCCGGGCACCGGCGTCTCGCCGGGCCGCTTCGCCAGCCTTGACTAGAGCTGGTCGTTAGAACCTGCCCGTCGTGGATAGGGGGCCACATGCGAACCCTACCCCTACCCCCCACGACTTCTGATGGGGAGGGCGGGGTTCACTTCGTTCGGAAGCTCGAGCGAAGTGAACTCCACCCTCCCCCTCAGAAGTCGTGGGGGGTAGGGGTAGGGTTCGCATGTGGCCCCCTGGTGGAGCGTCTCAGCAAACTGCGGGAGCAGCAGGCGAGCGCGCCTGGCGCGGCGACCCGCGGCTTTCGAGACCTCGCACGGCGCGCTCGCCTTGCCCGCGCCGCGGAAACCCCTCGCAGGAGGGGGGCCCACGCCTGCCGCGCAAACGCCTCGTTCGCGCCGGCGGCGCTGTCGACGGCCTCCGACTCCAGCAGAGGCAACGACTGGATCACCCTGGGCGACCCTGGCTGAGCCCCCTGGGCCGGGGGCCCCGCCCGGAGCAAAGAGTCCACGATGCCCATTTATCTCGCTGCGCAGCCGCCATGGCCCCGGACAGTGACACCTGGCGGAACCGCCCAGAGCGCGCTAGGAAGAGCGCGGCCGCGGCGTCCTCGATACGGCCGACAGGCCGCTCGATACTTCCGCTCCGTCAATGCGCATGTCCTGGAATCGGGCCCATCCTGGCGCCGCTGGAGCCGAGATGTTCCGCCATGACGCCGCTATATTATACACTCCTCCTGGATCCACCTATTAAGAGACGAGGCCTTCTCAAGTATCACCCGCTTGCCCGAAAGAGAGAGAGAGAGAGAGCAGCTGTGCCCGCTCGCCGTGAAGCCCCGGCTCTTGGTCATGCTGGAACGCACGCGTCCTACTGCAAGTCTCAAGAGCCTGGCCGGGCACGGCGCCGCCCCGAATCTCTCGTGGCTGAGCCCGCGGCTGCACGGATCCCCCAACTAACCGACGCTGCTTTGCAGAGCCGCCACCTTCATCTGCGCGACACCAGCCGAACAGACCACGCGGGCGCGGGCGCGGCGCTAATTCTTGTCGCAAGCCGAACGCGGCATGGTCTGTCCGCACGTGTTCCAAGGTAAGCTTGCTTGCTAATTTTGCGGCCAGCGCCCTCACACCCTGCAGGGTGAAGCAGCGGCCTCGCCGTTGATCTTGAAATCCCTCAACAACGGCATGTCAGGATTGTACCCGAAGCAGCGACCGCGCATCTCATGTCTGGCCAGTCTGCGCGATCTGATTGATCTCGACAAAGACCAGATACTCTGCCATCGCGTGACTGGCTCTCCGAACGAAAGCTTCACGGGCAGTATTCCGTTCCGGCCGTCCCTGGCGCCGACGGCACATTGGCATTTCTCGCGTCGACCGACATTTACAAGCTCCATCCTTTGGCGCACCGTGTCGGACGTGATCAAGATCTCCCAAGGACCCGCCAAAGGGGTAGGCCCGTGTCCCTGGCACGCGTTCCTAGTATACCGCAAAACACGGTCACCAAATATTTGTCTCAGCTCTGGCCATTGGTATGGCTGCAAGCCTGCTGGCCAGACCCAACATACGCGGCCCCTGAGTCGTACCACCCGCAACGTAATTGCGACACGGGTAGAACCCGTACTTCCGATAGGACCCCCCCCCACGCAAAACGAATAATTGATGGACCGGGTCCAGCGGCAGTTGCCCGCCCTTGCGACGGGTGCAATCCACAACTTGCGTCCTATTTGCTCGAGCGACATAGCACGGCACGTCACCCACAATACTGCGCCGTGAAGTTCGATCAGTTCTTGGCTATGCGTTTGCTTCTATGACTCCTCGAACACTGCTTGAACGGCTCGGGCAGCCAATGATATCAAATAGTATGTGTGGGACCATGCGTTCAGCTTCCAAGCTGGCCGACACAGTACTAGGTCGGCTCTTCTATGCAACTTCAACATATGCGCCGGATGCACCGTATCAGTTCGTAACAGTTGCATCTCACATCCTCGGAGGTACTAGAGAATGCAGGAAGTGAGGTGCATATTACTGTGCCGCTCGCAACTGCGGCGGAAGCGGTGTCCCTCCATGCCCAGAGCAACGCACAGCGCCAAGTTACCCCGAACCATCTAGCGCAGTGCTTCGGGCCACATCCCATTTGGGGTCGGGTAACATGTGCATTATGGTGCCCTTCCCCTCCCCCTAATCCTCATCCTCTATCTCCTCCTCACCCCCCTCCTCTTCGTCCTCCTCCCCCTCCTCATTATCAGCAACAGCATCACCATCGTCATCAGAATCCACACCACCACCATCGCTACCACCACCACCATCAGCATCATCATCGTCATCAGCATAATCTGCATCAGCATCACAACTTTCATCATCAGCATCATCATCAGCATCATCATCAACATCAGCATCAGCATCACCACTTTCATCATCAGCATCATCATCAGCATCATCATCAACATCAGCATCAGCATCAGCATCATTATCATCATCAGCAGCAGCAGCATCATCATCATCATCAGCATCATCATCATCATCATCATCATCAACATCATCATCA